AAATCTCTCTTGACTCCTTTATCCTATTTATTCCTCAAGAGGAAGATCTTTTAAGATTATGTTCTTTGTATTTACATACATACAGTCCGAAAATTATTGGCCTTAGTTTTATACAAATGGGATCAAACCATATACATTACTTTTAATAATTTGCTCTTTTTTTTTTTTTTTTTTAAATATATCTTTCTTGATTTCAGAGAGAGGAACGGAGAGGGAGAGAGAGAGATAGAAACATCAATGATGAGAGAACCATTGATCGGCTGCAGCCCACAACCCGGGCATGTGCCCTGACCGGGAATCGTACCCTGATCACCTGGATCCTAGGTCGATGCTCAACTGCTGAGCCATGCCCGGCTGGGCCTAATTTGCTCTTTTTACTTTACATCTTGGAAATTTTTCTGTTAGTACATATAAATCATTCTTTGTAACTTCTGCATTGATCTGAAGTAGCAATCTTGAAACTTTTTAATCACCCATATGAGAAATCTGAAAAATTTTGTACCCTTTGTACATTTTTAAGTTGGCATCTAACTTTTTTTTAGCAAAAGTTTGAATTATAAAGCATGTAATCTTTCAGAATGTTTTCATTTTGCCACATAAATATAATAGTTATCACTCTCTTAAATGTATCCAAATATATCACATTTTGATTCTCACCATCATTTATTTTAAAAATACATGAGCAAGCTGTTCTTTATCATTGGAAGTATAAATTCTTCTTTTGATTCCTCCAATTTTTATTTCCAATCCATGCCTCTCATAGACTTTTATCCTAATGTAATATATTTTTATACTTGAAAGTTTGTTTCTTAAGTTATCATGTTTCTGTAGCTAAATATGTATGTAAACTTAAATTTTAATTTAAAAAGTTTCTGTAACGATCAGGCTCTAACTATTAACTTGCTTCAAAAGAAATTTACCATCAGTTACTAATAGTACACAGAGGATCGATTGCTTATACTATAATTTTTTGATAAATTATTATGAACCAAAAGGTTGAATTTAATTGGAAATGTTTTTCTTGATGAGATGGTGGGGTTTATTATTTTTCTCCATTAGATTATGAATCTGTGGATAGCCTTTATTTTTTGTTAGAATGAAGCGGGGGGGATAGTAATTTTTATTTCTATTTTTATAGACATCATAGCCGAGAAACCTTATTCACAGAGCGAAGTATGTGGGAATGGAAGCTTTATTATGGCAGTGTCCTCAGTTCTTTGAGTTTACATGTTAAGAATTCTGTAATGCAGTATTATTAAAAATTATTTTTAATATCCTATCCGATGACAACTCCATTATGACCTCATTCAATTTTGATGAAGCAAAGAATTGGAAACTAACCTATAAAGGATTATGTTCCTCAGTCATTAGATAAGTCACTTTGTTTAGGGGCTTGCTCTTGTTTCACGGATTTGTGATTTTTTTTTTTTTTTTAATCCTGATAGAAAATTATGTATTTCTTCAGCATTGTTTCCCTGGGTGATATATTGCTCTTTGAATGTGATACCTTTCTTCTTTGGTAGTAGTTTTCCTTAGGTACTTGGCGATACTGTCTTACTCAAGGTTCCCTGTGATGCTTGACTACCACCTGCCTCTGGCACGGATAGGACAGTGCTCTCAGGTGGGGTACGGGGCTTCCCATTCCTGGAAGTCACCCAGTGAGTTGTCTTCCTTTTTGTGCCAAAGCATTCAGTCTCTGCTCCCATGTGGAGGTTGGCACAAGGCTGAGTGAGGAAAGGAAGTGTGGGGGAGATAGGGACTGGCCTGGCAGCTCGTTAGAGTCCGGTCATCCCTGCTGTCTTAGAGTACCTTGGAGTCCTGCTCTCCTGTGTGTGGTTTCTCCTTCAGGGTGGTCCTATTTACTTTCATTTTCTTGGCTATTTCTGGTATCCTCTGTGATTTCTAGATCTTTTGTTACTTGATACTTTTAAGCAATCTTTTCTGCTATGTTTAAGTACTTGCAATAGCATGTTGAGGCTGACCCGTGTGCTTCAGTTGGCTACCTTTATCTTCTCTTAAATTCTTTAATGTGCTTAATTTTTTTTTTTTTTTAAATATATCTTTATTGATTTCAGAGAGAGGAAAGGAGAGGAAGAGAGAGAGATAGAAACATCAATGATGAGAGAGTCATTTGATCGGCTGTAGCCCGCAACCCGGGCATGTGCTCTGACCGGGAATCGAACCCCTATTGCCTGGATCCTAGGTCGACGCTCAACCGCTGAGCCACTCCCGGCCGGGCTAATGTGCTTATTAAAGCAGGACTCTATATCTGTGCAAGTCTTTTTTATCCCTGTCTCTGGCTCCCCACACATCATTTCTTAGCATTTACCAGTGGAATTTGCTATATATTCTTTCATATTTTTTTTCTGAATATTTTTTGTTTTTTTAAATAATGCTCTTACACATAATTTGCTTTTATATTCTTCTTTTTTAAAAATTGATTTTGAAGAGGGGGGAAGGGAGAGGGAGAGAGCGCTACATTGACGTGAAAGAGAAACATCTATGGGCTGCCTCCTTCCCTCCCCCTACTGGATATTGAGCCCGAAACCCAGCCATGCGCCCTGACCAGGAGTCCAACCAGTGACCTTTGGTGAATGGGATGATGGTCAGCCAACAGAGCACACTGGCCAGGGCTGTATTTTTCTTCATATGCCCTGGCACCTTCCCTTATCAGTATGTGAAGAGCTACCTCAGTTCTTTAATAGTTGCATATTGTTTCACAGTTTAATGAATCTGTTCGTGGGCATTGGTTACTTTTCAAACAGTGCCATAATAAACATCCAATTTACACTCATTTTTGTGTACTTTTATGTCTTTTTGTGAACTAAATACCTAAAATGGATTGTTGAGTTAAACAGGTATTTCAAAATTTGATGGACTGCCAAATGTCTCATAAAAAGATGGTTCTAATTTATATTTCCGTAAAAAGCTTGTTATAATTTATATTCCCTTAGTGGTTTATGAGGTTGCCTGTTTTCCTATACTTTTGCCAACACTGGATATTATCCCATTTTTTCACTCTCATGGCCAAAAGATGGTATCATTTTTTGTAATTTGCATTTCCCTGTAATCTGCATTTTATTTTGTTTTTTTGCAACCTGTATTTTTAAATGAGGCAGATTTTTAAAAATATGCATTTTTTTCTTGAACTAGAAATAATAAATTTTATAAGCTTACTGTGTGAGGATAAAAGGGAGTTTATTTATTTTGGCCTAGATATGAGATAGAGCATATTTGGCATCTCTCTGAATAAGTAAAACACAATGTATGAAGCCCTAACATGATGCGTGGTGCATAGTGGGTATTTAATAAACTGGGTCCTATTTCATTCCTTTAATTGATAATTCTCTTTTTTGGTCTGCTTTGTCGTTTAGGTTGTTCCTTTAGTTATTCCTCTGCTATCTGAGATAGTGGAATGAGTGATCTTTTCAATGAGTTTATGTAAAGATTTCTGCTTTGGATTTGTGGGAGCCAGAAAGTTGGACAGTGTAGTTTCTTGTCTTCCAAAGTAAAATATTGCATTTTATAATTTTATAGCATACATTCTAGATTTTCACTTGTCTTAAGAAAAATATCTCTTGAGGTTCTTGAGAGTGATTTATCGGAAACTCTTGGGTTGGCAGGCTGATCGAGAGCTATGCAGGTTGCCGAAATGTTAGATAAACTTGGAGCCTTTTGGAAAAGGTGGCACATCTTCAAATTGATCTCTATAGTCAATGCAGTTGCAATCAAGATTCCATCAGGATTTTTATATAAATCAACAACTGATTCTAAAAGTTATATGGAAAAGCAAGGTAATTAGCATAACCAAAGCAATTTTTTGGAAAAGACCCAATTTGTAGGATTCACATGACCTCATTTCAAAATCTTACGCAAATCCTGTAATCAAGACAGTGTGTGGTATTGGCAAAATAGATAGACGTTCTGTTAGTGGTCAGTGGAACAGGAAGAGTCCAGAAATATACCAACATCTAATCAGGTCATTGGATTTTCATCAGAGGTGCAAAATCAATTTGATGGAGTAAGGATAGCCTTTTAAACAAATGATACAGGAGCAATTCGATGTCTGTATGCAAAAACGTGAACCTAGACCCACAGCTTACAACATATACAAAATTTAACTCCAAATGTGTCATAGGCCTCAGCTGAAAACTGTAAAACTTCTAGAAGAAAATCCTGTGACCTTTCGTTAGGCGAAGATTTCTTAGATACCTCGCCAAAAGGATGAAAGATAAATTAGACTTCATCAAAATTTAAAACTTTTGCTCTTCAAAAGACACAGTTAAGATAATGAAAATACAAGTTATAGACTGGGAGAAAATATTTGCAGAACTCATCTGATGAAGGGTTGGTATTCAGAATATAAATAGAATCCTCAAAACTCAAGAAACAACCTAATTAAAACATAGTAAAAAAAATCTGACCATTGAGTTCACCAAAGAAAATAAAGGGATGACAAATAAATACATGAAAAGACGTCAACAACCTTATTTATTAGGGAATGAGACACAACTGCACTTTATAAGAATAGCTAAAATAAGAAAATTTAAAAAAAAGCCCTCTGCTTCCAAAAGTGCTGCTGACCTCCATGTAATCCTCAGATCCAGGAACAATGATGGCACCCTGGACTTTTTATGTGGGGGTTGTTTTAAATGGCCCTGTGTCCTTGAAGAGTGTGATTTGAATCACAGATAGTAAACGGGTGGCGCTTCATGATGATTTTATTGACTGTGATGCTAATCTTTGACAATTTAAAGAACAGAAAAGACCTGGGCTTGCTGTTAGGAAGGGCTCTTCTGTACTGGGGGCTGTAGAAATGAATGACTCAGTTTTGTTCTGTTTCTGGGTTTCCTTTTATTGGATCTATAAATTTTTGGACTGATTTTTATCAGCTTTAAGGTAATGCTGTGACACAAATTCTACTAGTTAGACAGTAGTTGGATGTGTTTTTCATTGTTTTGTTTGTCACAACGGGTGATTCTTCTTTGTGGTGGTTGCAGGTACTCCATCTCCTAAACCAGCAGTGCTAGCCAACGGTGACCATGGAATAGAAGGGAATGACACTACAGGTAAGTGGTTCCCAGGATTCCCCAAATGTGTGGGTGAAACAGTCACAGTAACACCTGGATAAGCTTCTTCAAGGAGGATTGTTAATGGAAGCATATGGATTATTCCTGTTTCTAAGGGTACTGTTTTTGTTGGATATGTTTAAACCCAGGCATCTGCCATATAACATCTCCAACAGTGGAAAGAGAAGAGTGAATTTCCTCTTATGTTCTTTGAATATTTGTTCTTTGGATATTCTTTGAATATTAATTTTACCAAACAAGAGCTGGATCGGTCTTAAAAATATGCTCATAGAGGCAGAATAATCACAATCAAGATATTTCATATGGGAGGCTTCGGTCATTCCAACTCTGTAGGCGGGTCTCTTCCCTGAATGCACACTGCACTCAGTTTGCTTTCCACTGCTTAGTGTTAGGAAACCTGTGAGCTACAGATTAAAAGTTTTTTTCTTTTCGCTTTTGCCTTCAATCTGTTTTTTCTTTTTTTCCACTTAACTGTTACTATTGAAACCTCTCTCTAACTTTTTAACTCCTAGCCTATTACTTCGGCTTTGCTACTCTGTCAGCTAGCACTGAGTGCCTGTGGTTCCCACCTCAAAATTAGCACCGACCCCAGCCCCCATTATATTTGCAGTGAGCAAATTTCTTGAAGCAGTAGCAGGTGCCACAGGGATGTATTATGTAAATCTTTTCTTAAGTAGCTGATAGGAAGTCATGTGGAATTTTTATAAATAACTGTACTTAATGTGCAGTTGTGGTCAGGCTGGCCGACACTGTTGACCCAAATAGTCTTGTAATGATTAGGCACATTGTTCTCTGCCACAGTGTGTGCTCTTCTTACCTGGGGCACAACATTCAATTCCCATACCATGGGGAGGCTAACACTGGCGTGGACCGTGTCCATGTTTCTCCTCTTGGGTGCATACCTCAGACTTGAGAAGCCTTCCCTTCAGTCACTACAGGATCTCTCAGTTGTTATGGCTTCCAAAAGCCTTTGTTAGCAATAGCGATTATTCCAGGATTTAGTCTTTATTTTGTGACCTTTAGAAATGTATGTATCTTTGTATCTCAGATTTATTGATGACTAGGTTCTGTTGATGACTGTTAGTTTTATCCAGTGGCATTAACATCCTTACTAGCAATTCATGAATTAGGAACTCTTTAAAAAGCAAGAAGCAACCAGAATGCCACCGCATCTTTCAGTTTCGTGAAACGAAATTTTTGTATTTCTTTGATAATCATAGTAATATGTGGTCTTGACTGTTTCTGTGCCTGCTTTGTGAGGGGATTGATTTGGTTAGCTCGTGGAAAAGTGGATGCCAGTTTCACCCGGGAGAGAAACAACTATCAAAACCCGAGTAGGTTTCTTCTCCAGCAGTATGTCAAGTACAACTAGAAGAGACTCGAACTTTATGTAGCAGTTGCTTCCCACTGCCAAGTCTTAATTGGGCAGGAAAAAAGAACAGGAAAAATATACAGTCTAGTCTTTGCTGTCCCAAGACTTTCAGTTCCCTGGTTGCAAAAAAGAACCGTGCTGGTTGTGAACTTCCCAGTGAGAGTATGAGGGCAGGCCTTTCTGCTCTTGGACACCTTACTTCTCCACTCTTGGTGAGAGTACAGCTTGCACACTGCGAAGGTGTTTGTGTTCTGAATTTGACATCTGACTATGAGAGCAGATGCTTTACTGAAAATATGCATGTTTTGTTGCGGGTGGAAGGGAGTCGGGAGGGAACGAAGAGTGCATGTTTTTGGAGCATGTGGTGACTTCATTCTAATTTGGCCATCACTCACTGGTGCCATTTTGAAAATTCCCATTTCTGTTTCCTTCACAATGTTATCTCTAGTCCTAAGAGCAGCTCATCCCCACTGACAGCGTATAAAGGGTTTATGAGCATCTTGCTATATTGAACTTGCTGTGTACTAATGACCTGTGCTTTTCTGCCCCTTCCTTCCCCTTCCTACTTCTTCCTCCCTTTCTATTTTTCTCCTCCTAGAAGCCTAGAGTGTCTCTCAACACTGGGGCTGCGGCAACACCAGACCAGTGATCTTTCCTAAGCACCGTTACACTTCTAAAACCTTCAGCATTTTGCAGAGCTTTGCTTTTCCTCCCTGGACACGATATAGAAGAAGCTGAGGGTAGTTCTTCGGGGCCTCTCTCTGCTGATGCCTGAGCAAACCACCTGCTTCCTCTTGTACTCGGCAGGGCTTGATGGAACCTCCTTCCCCTTTGTGAGCGCAAAGTACAAGATGGATTCTTTTTAATTTTAGTATTTTTATTTATAAAGGTCACCTAATGTTTTTTATTTCTTGCTCTCTTTTTAAACTCATTTTATCATTTAATTCAATCTCACATTTTTCTTTTCTTTAAACATTTTTAGTTGGCATTTTTCATTGGGCTTTCAGATCTCCCACATGAATCAGACTGTGGTAACACCAGATGAGAACGTGTGCTTTCATAAAGGGATTGAGTCTACCAGGACTGCAGTGAACCCTCCCTTTTCCTCTCCTTCCTCTCTCCCTCTGTGAGCTTGCTTTTAAGGAAGGGTAATCTTTCAGGCTACCTATGTTTCTCTCCACCTTATTAAAATCTGAGTAATGATTGCTATATTAATTTAAAGTTTTCCAATTTAGAGGAGCTCTGATGAAACTTTGAAAAGTATTTCCTTAAATTATCCTTTGTTAGTTGCAAGTTGGGCCAAAATTGTTTCTATTATGAAGTTATCTATTTGCCTAGGCTTAGATTCTCCTGAAAATTTAACCACATTATTATGTATATGGAGTTTTATAGTCAAAATTACTTTCTTAACATGATCTTGAACTATCAGAATAAGAATTGAGAAGTTAAAGAAAATGGAATCCAGTATTGTTAGAATACTGGGATGTTGGTACAGGTAGAAAATAACTTTTCCTGTAACAACACAAGAGGAAACTAAATGGCAACATATTGAAGAACAACAGTTTATCAGGTTTCTAATGAAGTGATTATCTGATTGGACTCAATCTCTGTTCAGGATTAGTATCCCTTTGAACTCTAAAGGTGCCTTTATGCAGCATGCCAGGGGATTGGGGTCACCTTGAAGACCTGTATGTCAAGTCCTTCACCACGAACATTAGCATCTACCTTCACACATTCTGAGCATTGTCTAATGGGTGGTTCTTATTTTCGTTTCTCATTTTTCCAAAGTAATAACTAAAAAATCTAGAACCATTTGGGATAAGTACTGTGGAACTTTTCAAATGATAAGCTGTGATCGGATTTTTAGAAATAGAATATAAAACATAGGCCATGTCTTGAAATCTTAGAGGAATTCTGGTTTAAGATCTGGAATGTGAAATACTTTTTAAATTTTTGTATCCTCTTATTGACTATGCATGTTTTTATAATCACTAAGCTACTCATTTTTCAGATTAAAATGAATAATTGCTACTGTGTTCTGAGGACGAGTTTGAGATGTACATTGTTTAGATCCTCTTATACAGAACTGCCTTTGGGATGGTTAAATCAAAATACTATGAAAGTTTAAAATGAGTCCCTGCAGTGACTTCTGGAATTTAGGGAGCATTCCCTCTTCTGGTCACAAGGATCTGGTCACGTGGGTTGATTTCTCTGCCAAGAGTTTGTCCCATGGGTTCTGGAGAGAAGACACATAAGGGAAGCATGTTTTAAAACGAAGAGCTTTATGCTTACCTTCTAAGCAGTTGATCAAATATGGAAACTTACAATAGGAACCACACCATGAAATAAAACATAGTTCCTTTTGGTGTGTGGCTTTTAAACATATATATATTTGGTCAGGAAACTTTTTACAGCTGGTAGTGCAAACCTTTTAAAATTATGTTTGACATCTTTCTGTCACTCCTAACCAGTCTCTGCAGTTTATGTAAGTGACAGGTAGGTGGAGAAGGCTGGGCACAACCCTACTGTGGCAGTGGTTAAAGGCACACACTCACACTTCATTACTGACATTGGTTTATTCCACTTTTATTTCCATTTTGTTATGTTTTTGTTTGAAATTTATTTTTTCCTAGTATGTTTTTTTTTACTTAAAAAATGGAAATTTCCTACTAACAGCCTGCTAAATTTTGGTATATATTGTCAGCTCACTCTGTTTCACTTGGATGTTTCATTTTGAAAGAAATGAATTTTATGTTTTACATGCAGCTTTATATGAATGAAGTAGCCAGTCCTGCAGTGAAGTGCTGTTGCCACCATGGTCATACCCAAATGGCCCAGTGTTTCACTGCTGAGACGCCCCGACTGGGCAGGATTGCTCTGTTGCAATGTGATGTTTCTTATATGTAACCAGAATCAGTCTCCTCTTCCTCTTCTCTTCCTCTTCCTCTTCTCTTCCTCTTCCTCTTCCCTTCCTTCTTTGCCCAATGTTGAAGATGTAGAACTTTGTTTTTAAATATTTTTATAACTTTGTTCATGCACCTAAGTTTATATTTTTTGTGATTTTAGAGTTCAACAGTTTGTATATTGGGACGTTTTAATGTGATCATTGTGCTAATTAAATTACACTAATAAACATCTTACATTAACATCTTATGGACTGGATTTTGGCTGGGGTCTTAATTATTGAAGTATAATGTGACTAAGACGTGAGTTTGGTAAATAAAGATGCTTGAGGCATGAGTTCTCAGTCTAACAAAGCTACTAATCCCATCCGTAATAATTCCATAATTGTATGGGCTTTCTACTTTTACTTACATTGTTTTTGATTCTTAGAGTAACTCTTCTTTCCAAATCTGTAAGAGTTAAGCACAAATGACTACTTGATGTTTTATGGCATCTGGTGAGAAAGACAGTGGGCAGAATAGCAATGTGCAGTTATTCTAAAAGACAGTTTCATGACATATCAATTATTGTTAGATACCTTCTAATACTACATGTATGTTTGGTGTAGTCCAATTAAAATTCATATTCACAGTCTTCCTGAATCACCTTCTGAATTATTGAATAAATAATTATAAATAATTAATAATAAATAGTAAATAAAAAT